GGGTGGCGCGGGTGGGGGCGGGGTGGTGGGGTGGTGGTGGGGGGGCAGCAATTGAACACTAGTTGTTCAACAAAGAAAGGCTAGGACGGCAAGGAAGGGGCGGCGTGCTGGTGGGGGGGTGTGGTGGTGTGGGCGGCGGTGCGGGAGGTGGGGCGGGGGCGCTGGGAAAACCCAGCTAAGGAGCCCCTCCTAGCGCGACCCAGGCGGGGTCGGCGGATATTCATAAGAAGTGCGCTAGCGTGCAAATTCATGTGTGTGTGTGTGTAAAACTGTATTTTGCGTCTCAGGAAGCTGGAGTTTTTGGAGAATTACTCCTATGCCGTCTACGTCCTTCAGTTCCTCTGCTATGCGGTGTGGCCGAAGACTGGTCTCGTTAGTCTGCCTTTGTTCCTGATCTTCCTTTACGCGTCGGCGGTTCTGATTGTCCGTTGCATCCAGCAGCCAAGTCAAAAATGGTGGGCAAACCACACAACTGCACGCCTCTTCGTGCCATTCATCCTGGCTGCCAGCTTTGTTGGACTGAGCTTTCTTCCAGACCCAGTTGGAACGAGCACGAGCATGCCGGACATCCCCGCGCAGCGCTGGATTGACAATCGAAGCAAGGACATGCGTCTGGAGCTTTTGGATCCCGAAGGCCAGCGCCTGGGTGCCAGGATTATTAATCCATCCCTCGCCATTGCAGACGGTCAGCTGGTCGTGGTAGCAAGGCGCCACCGACGAGAGGTCACGAAAAGCAGCGGCCGTTTCAGAAGCCCCGAGGGCGAGGTGGATGCCGTGTTCATCAACCAGATCTGGCACTCTGACCTCGTTGTGGGCAGTCATCTCGACCTGGATCTGTGGCCCTCTGGTCCTGGGGCCCAGATATCAATGCAGAGTTGGACCGGCCTTCGCACATCCACAGGTCAGGGAACTAAACGCTATCATGCCCTCGTAACCCTCGAATTTGTCATGGGCAGTGGTTTGTGACCAGGGATCTTGCATCTGAGGCGGCAACTGGGAGGACCTGTGTGTCGCAGAAACGTGGATCGCCAAGAACAACACGGTGATTCGGCACATCGTCACTGGCCCACAGGATCCCAAGGCGCTGGGAATCGTATTTTCACCGACCCCTTTGTCCTTGTCCCATCAGGTGGTAAGTGCTGGTGCCGGCGGTCTGGCCATTGCTTTCGATTCCAATCCTCCCAAGAGTGACGACGGCATACTCTGCCAAAGAAACGCTCAAGGCAGGCAAAAGTTTTCACAAATGGGGGGCATAACTTTGCCACTCTCCTGCAATCTCCTGTGCCACGGTGACTTTGCAGGCTTTGCAGACGCCGCAACTCAGATGTGGCCTGGTCAAGCGTGTGGTAATGCAAGCATTTGGATATGTTTGGACGAGTAGTTATACCACTATGAGGGGCTAAGTTTCCCAAGGTATCTGGCGATGGGCTTCAAGCCTGCGAAGCCTGGAGCTCCAACTGCGGCCTACCGACTAGGCTACGGCCACGCCGATGTTGCTGAGAAGATGCTTGGGACTGGTCGGACTGATCTCGAGTCCGATTTCCTCTGCTCTCCGCAGTGCACTACGCCTAAGCTACCTGGAGCCAAGGAGCTGGATTCCTTTCATATACAAGGAGTCTGTCTTCTTCATCTACACCCCGCTTCCACATGTCGTCCTGTCTTCTACGCACGATGGGCAAAGCGAGAAGGCCCCATGTTCAGTGGGTGAGGTGACACATTCGTGTTGTGCGGTCAGGTTTTCAGTACGACGTTCCGTCCATTGCTGCGAGTATTGCAGGACAATCCCCATGTCAGGCTGGCCCCGCCCAATCTGTCATGCCACCTTCACCGTGGGTTCACCGTGTGCTTGAGATACTGAGACAGGATCAGAGGTTCGGCGCAAGCAGTGTTCGTA